GACGTCGGGGCGTGTGGGTTGGGGTTTCCTACAGGCAGAGGTGTGTTTGAAGGACTCAGCTCCCCGTCATGCAAGCGGCGTGTCCTCCCTGCGCTATAGGGATGGGGAGGTTCAAGAGCAGAGTGCTTCATGCCAAAGCTTTCAGACCTGCTCTTGGAAAGCCTTGCACCCTCCCCAGGGCTCCTGCTCCCACCTCTCTCCCTCTGGCTGAAGCAGCACACACCTGGATGCTGGTAGTCTTGTATAACCGTGGCTGGAGGATGAAAGCTCAGCTTTCACCCACCCTGCTGTGCTCAGCAGCTGTAGACAGAGGGGAAGGTCCTCAAAGGCCTGCACAGGTTTCGGTAAGACCCAGACCCTGAGCCTGAACACAGTGGATCCCTGCAGCACTAAGGAGCATGTACTCAGCCCTGCCACCTCACTGCATCCCACACGCACCTGCAGTGGCACTTCCCTACGTCCCCCTGTATCTGTACACCTGGCACTGCCCTACAGAGATGACTCTTCAGCCAGTCCACGGTCCAAGCTCTGCTTCTCTCTCTGTACAAGCAGCGCCCTGCTCTGCCAGAGGGGCTGACCCCAGATGTGTTCCTCCTCAGCACCTCTGTTAAACAATTCTCCTAAAATGTCCTGCAAAGGACAAGCAAAACTCCAAACTCTAATCCACCTTATGCCTGATACGAAAAAAAATAAACCAATAGGATCCTCCCATAGCTATTTCCTTTTGTTAGCTGACTTAAATAGGTTGTAAAGACATTTAAGTGACAAATTTTTGTCTCTGCAGCAGAACTAAATAGGAGTGGGAACACATCACCTTGGATTCTCTTATAAGTCACATGAAACACTGCACTGCACAGAAATTAAAAGGGATAGAACCACTTAAGCCTCAAAGAAGACAGCAGATAGACAGTCACACCACTCAGCCACCCAAGTTCTCACTGATGCATACTAACTTGCAGTCTCTTTCAGATTAGGAAAAGTTGAGAAGTTTGTGTAGAAAAACCTACCAACGCTTGCAGTGGGTGTCATGCACAGAACTGACCCTGCACACCATGCATTGAAGCGTGGAAAGATGAACAAAAGGGATATTTCATTAGTGAAGCTTCAGTGTTAGATATCACTTTAACTAAAAAGCAGGTATTCTCTTTGCAGCATTCAGTATTTAAGCACATGCAGATTCTGCATATTGGTACATAAATAGTTTAAACTCAGTTTTAAGAGATCATAGCAAACCAAATTAATTCTTTAATTCTTGGGTAGTAGAGAATATATTTCTTCTCCCACCTGGGTATTAAATGATATGATTGATCCCAGAAATCAGGGCTGTTTGGGGTTTTTTTGGTATTGGGTATGCTGATTTCTTTCTGATCATGTCAGCAGAAAACAAATTGCCCTTAGAGGAATGTCACACTCATGTTAAAACTGACTTTCCAAAAGCAATTTACTCCTGCAAGCAGGGACTGGGATTTCAAGTCTCTAGTTTAAGCTGAAAGGGGCATTTTTTTCCTGGACTTGAAACAATTGCAGTGATGATGCCATTTTCAATAGACACCCTGACCTCCCACCATGGCAACCCACGATGCTGATCTCTCAATAACTGAACAGGAGATACTAAGAAAAGCAACAGCTTGCTTCCCCTCCCCACAGTGAGAGCTGCTACGTGCCACCTCTCTGCTTCGCCTTCCAGAGCGCTGCAAAGGCTGAGCCCACATCTGCAGTCTGATGCATAACGTAAATTCATCAGAGATCCATCCTCTGACTGGAAATTTGCTGCTCTGCCCAGCATTAATGTCCTCAGATGAGAGCAGGTGCCAGCAAGCAGACCTGTTACGCATCAGCTCTGCACGTAATTTCATTGCCATGAGACAGGGCACCACAGCACAGCGAGTGCTGGGCAAAGCTAATTTATGGTGCTCACATCAGAAATGCATGTCCTTATGTCAACTTTGGCAACTGTGACCTCAAGGAAGAGGAGTGTGTAGCCAGCTGGGGGACTTGGCATTCTCAGAAGTGTCTGTGTTTCCTGAGGAAGTATTTTGCTTGGCACTCAACAGAGCTGTGGTAAGGTCAGTCCAGCCCATGCCCTCCAACAGCACTTTGCAGAGCACAAGGTGAGAGGCTACTACTCAAGTCCCTCCCTCCATCTCTCCATATGAGAATCCACTTCCCTGAAAGGACATCTTGGCAGCTGCTGAGTTCTGAGTGTCTCCAAGGGCCCTCATAACAGAAAGGCCACACAAGCACCAGGTTTAGGTCCCTGCCCCCTGGACCCACAGTCCACCTAAGATAGTTTGGTCTCAGGACAGAACTGTCTCTAAAGCTTTTCCCCTGACTCCAAGGAACCTCAAGGCCAAGGTGAAGGTCCACTGTGTATTCAGCTTCTAAGGCTAGCCCAGAAAAACACTTGGTATATTTTTGTAAATATCATCTCGCAAGTAAATACAACATTAAACATTAAAAACATTGGGCATTAATTTTCTCATGATGCTCTGAATGATAATGATGATACTAAAACACGAGCTATCAACTCTGGAATATTCCTAATTCAGCCACTTATAATACTTACTACTCTAAGCAGGTTTTGTTTTTCATTTGGCTGCAGTGAACAGATGTTAATTGGCCAGTCAGCAGTCAGTCACATCTGCCATGTTAGTATTTCCAGTCCTATATGAATTACTGAACTGCATCTTTCAATTTTACTCTGAGACCTTAAAGGTACAATAAAAGCTGGGAGTTAAATTGCTTTTAAAAAGCTTAGGATATCCTACTGGTCAAAAGACAAGCAAGAGGAAAATATATGCCTTTAAAGAGGATTATGTAATTTGTATTTACTAAAGATGAACTGTTCCCTCTGTAAACATCACAGCTGGTGGAATATGTAGGTCACTGAGATAGAAGCTCAGGAAGATACCTGCAGCTTCAAGAGAGAAGGTACAGAGGTCCACAAGACATTTTAACATGAGTCTGTAAGAGGCTACGCAAGAGTCAAAGAATTAATTTGGGATTAACCAGTTTACCGTAAGGAGGAGAAACAGGAAGTATGAATTCAAGAAACATGCAGACATTTTTCTTAGTTTGACTGCTTAAAAAAACCCCCAAACCACACAAAAAAAAAGTCTAAGAAAGGATCTTTACAAGTTAAAAGCTCTGAACTGCAGTATGCGAAGGGGAGAAAAAGTCAAAACAACAGACATTAACGTTACATCCCTTTTTAACATGAAACTACACACCAATACTTTTTTGCTAAGGACTCTTCAAATCTGCTCTTTAGATGAACACCTAGGTCATCATGATGGTGGGGAAAGCAAGGAGACACTTACCTGTGGGGATGAATGTAGGCTGTTGCAACTGCATGTTGGCTAGAGCCTGTTGGTAGTGGAAAACGCTTGGGTTAAAGACTGTGGTGGCACCATTGTTTTTTTCAAGTGCTGGCCTCTTTGGTAAAGGTTGAAGTGCACCAGGCGGCAGGGCCTGTGGATAAGGGAGTCATTAAAGACAGGTGGAGTAAATAAAGGGGCCTAGATGTAGGTCAAGCATGCAATAAATAATAGGGGGGTCTTGGCTGCAAATCACCTGCAACTGTATCAACTTAGCGAGACAGAAAAGAGAGGAGCAGCTAAGTCACAGTACAAGTAGTAGGTGAAACTATAGCTTCACTAGGTAAGCAGTTAGAAAATGCACCAGTAGAAGGGGCAGA